GCTAGAATAAAAAAAAAAACCTATGTATTCAGTGATCTGTGTGCCATTCAATTTGCCTGCATGGACTGGATGCCAGTAACATAAGCATGAGAATGCAACTTTTGATAGTGTTTCTGTAGTATCTCTGCAAAAATTTGAATTTTGCTACTTGATGTACCCTTTTCTGATTCTAACAACCCTCCAAGAATAAAAACAGTATTTTAAGAACATTTAATTGATGCATAAATATTCTTTATATCTTTGATGTAGAGATCTATTTTTCACTGTTTGCTTGAGACTGAAAAAAGAAGTTTTAAATAGTCTATAAAATATAACGGAGGACTTAAATGCAAAGTCAGTTTTGCTAATATCTTCAGAGAGTGAGAAAGAGTGCTTTGAAGCTTTCACTTTATGTAGGTGGAAAACACCTTTGACTGTCAGTTGTGTTAATGGAGAGAAACCTTCTAATTGTTCTCAACCCTGCCAAAGTGTTGTGTTTTTTGTTTTTGAGATTTTCTTTAAAGATACAAGAACCATCACGTTATTAGCGCATAACGTAATTAATTTTTAAGAGCAAGTTTAATTAACTGGTTGTATTGAAGTCCAAACTTTAGTGAAAAGATCTGTGCAGTATTTATAGTCAAGCTTCAATCTCCCATATAAGTAACAATTAGGGTCACTGCTAACTTGAGATCTCAAACTTATTTTAGAAAGCATGTCTTGAACATAGTGGGAGTTACTGAAGAGTCACTGTTCAATAAACGCTAAAAACACTGGCCATTTCTTTCATGGCATGCCATGGACCTGCAAAACTGCCTCATAGAAAGTGATTTCACTGTGCAAAGATGCTCACAGTCTTAAGGAGGAAAGGCAAACAAGACCATATGGGATTTTGATGTCTGTCAGAGAATCGGTAATTGAAATCTGGAGCTTTTGCTACTCCCTTATTTGTTTGAAAAATAACAACTAGGAAATGTGTTATCCTGGAAGAAGGTACGAGGAAAAGATAGGAATGTCTAAGACAAAGCCCTGCATAATGCTATAGTGCAGTGTTGCAGAATAACACTACAGGATGGATATGATAGAACTATGCAGCAAAAGGAAGCTAAAAGCTCAATTCTGACTATCAAAGACAGGTCTTAAATTTTATGACCAAGAAAAAAAAAGAAAATTAAAGAAAGAAGTAGTTCAGCAAGCTTAAATTTTACATACCTTCAGGGACAGAGTCCTTAAAGAGTACTAAACAATAATCAAGTAAGAATAAAGTAATTCTGCTACATATAAAACAAGAGAAATTTAAGTAGAATAAAAACCAGGACCAGCCATAAGACTTTGTGAAGCTAAATTACAAATATAAAACTAACTTTCTCCAAAGACAAACATCTAGCAAACTTTTCAAATTAATGAAATAGCTATCAGCACAGCTGCAGCTTTACCGAGGCAGACACAAAACTTACCCTGATATGGTAAAATGAGTCAAAGTCTCAATGACAAATTTCATCTGACAGCCCATCACAATGGACAGTAAGAAAACCTAAGTTCCATGCCTTCCTCTCAAATTTAACATAATATTTTTGAGAGGAAGCCACAAAACATACATTTTCTTAAATTTAAATTTATTTTGTTAAAGCTTATGAAATCTCTCTAATGAAATGTGTAAACATAACACATATAAATAAGTTCATCCATGTCTTGTATTTGCTCTGTGGTTCCTACTTTACTCATTACTATTTGACAAAATTCATTACTTTTTTTCTAGAAATTCTAGACATACTCTTGACAAAACTTTATCTCTTGCACAGCACTCTCTAGCATCAATGGGAAAGCAGCAGATGTTGTTAACCTTGAACTTAGCAAGGCTTTCAACACTGTCCCCCACAACACTCCCACAAACATCTCAAGTGTAAACAGACAGTGCAGCAGACTGAAAGCTGGCTGAGCTGAAGAGATCAGAAGTTTGTAACCACTCTCGTGAAATGTAACTGGAGACCAGTCACCGGTGGTGCACTCCAGCGGTTGATACCAATGTCCACACTTTAACTTCTCCGTTAATGACCTGTATGATGGGACTAAGTACACCCTCAGCAAATTTGCATATGATGAAAAATTGGGAGGAGGGGCTGATACAGCAGAGGGACACACTCCCACTCAGAGGCACCTTGACAGGCTGTACAAATGGGCCAACAACAACCTCTTGAAGTTGAACAAGGGGAAATGCAAAGTCCTGCACTAAGGGAGGAATAATCCCATGCACCAATGCAGACTGAAATACACAAAATATCATTTAAAGATAATAAAAAACCCTTTACTGTGAGAACAGGCAAACATTGTAATAGGTTGTCCAGAGATGTTTTGGAGTTTTCTTCCTTAGAACTATTAAAAACCCAAATGGACACAGTCCTGAATTCTAGGTGAATCTGCTTTGATCAGGAGGGTTAGGCTACATGGTCAATGATCTTGTCTCAACTCAACTCATATAAAAAATATTCTGTCCTTGAGAAAGATGCTGAAGCTCTCTATTAGATGATTAAACAATGAATTATTCAATTTAGAGCAGTCTAGTTGGAAACAAAGGCGGTCCTCTGTCTCAGCATCCTTGAGATAACTGATCTTGAAGAAAATGGGAAGGTAAACAGCAGAACAAGGACTGGGTCTTCATAAAAGCCTATAAACCAGTGAAAGTATGCACCTGAAGAAAAGCCAAAACACGCTGTATGTTTGAGAGTCTACAGAACCCATTTGTCAAAACAAAGAGACATTTAAAAGAAATAGTAGTGAATATTGCACATGCAGCTAATTCTACAAATGTATCTGGACACAGATTTAAAAGTCAGGGAAGATCTGCTGTATTACTGTTAGTGTCCATAAATCACAAAGATGGCTTCACCGTTTCCCCACTGTTTCCTACCTAACGCAAGACCTAGACAATTAAACTGTCTTAAAAAGAAAGGGCTGCATATATTCAGGCTGCACTGTCTGTATTACAAGACATCAGCTACCACCTTACCAAATTACTAAAGCACTCACATACACCAGTTACACAGTGAGAAACATTGCTTGCTAAGAGAGGCTTACACATATAAAGGGGAATTTTGCATTTTGCTTTAAGAAGCACTAAATATACAGCAAAAGGTGACAGGACTGAACTGTCAACATAACCCTCAGGAATATGTAACCATCTGCTGGACAAAAATGAAGGATCTCTAGTACAGGCAACGGCTAAAAATGCAATATCCCAGTAAGTATAAAAAGCATATATATTGTGTATATAAAATCAATACAGGAAAGAAAAGTTCTGTCCTTCCACCACAATCCCTAATTAATAAATCTGTTTAAGTACAGATTTTCTATTATTCAAAAGCAAAATTTAACTGGCAGTTAGGAGCTATGAACACAAGTACTTACCTTATAGTTTATAACCAAAGGGGAAAGATGAAAGAGATGAGTAAATCTTCCTCACATGTTTGAAAACAACTCTACCACAGCAGAACAACTTGGAGGCCCCCAAAATGACAAGAAGTAATTTACAATTTTAAAATATTTTCTTACAGAAAAGTCTATTTCAATTGTGACCCACTAGTATTTTTATGGTTGCCTTAGCTTAAAAATCTTGATGTTCTCGTGGCTTCTTCTTTACTATATTTCCTTTTTTTACTTTCTTTTTACTATACTTTCCTTGTGTAAATAATATTCTGTACCAGTGGATCATCTTGAAGTATTAGTCAGTTTTGGACACAACTATGGTGGGAGCATATGTGAACAGCTATAACGTATATAACATCTATATTTGCTCATGCTATCTAGGAAGCCTCTATCAACACATTTAGCTGTGCTTCTGCATAAAGTAAAATTCAAGAAAACAGAATTACTCAGTTTGAGCAATATTAGGAATAGCCATTTAGAACAACTTTAAGTATATGTTAATGTTCTTTGAAGGGTTAGTCCACTTATTTTAAATATTCACAGTATGTAAGGTAGAACACATATTCTACAGTTTCTGTAAGATTTACACACTCTGGAAATAACATGCATCTGTTGAGCAAAAGATGAACAGTATTAGGCTCTAAGCTCTTCTGTTAAGGTAGAAAATGGAAATTCAGAAGTCAATTGGTGTACGGCCATTTGCATTGTGAATTAGTGACTAAGAGTAATTTTGAGACTAATGGTCAATCTCTTAGACCATGCTAAGGACCCTTTCCCTGGCTGCTCAGAAAAGGTAATCATAACTTGATTTGCAAAAAAAATTGCCTGCCTTTAGGATATAATTCTATATAATTATAGAGATTATTCCTATCTTTACTATCTAAATTTTAAATCTCTATTACTTGTTTTTAGTTCATTATATATTCCACCCTCCCCCTGGAATTCTTTTTACCCTTCTCAAGGATACAAAACAAAAACACTTCAAAATTAAGGTACCAATTTTCTGTCTTATTTTACAAGTGCCCAAAAAAAAGAGAAAGACATGAAATCATAAATTTTATTATTAAATACTGTGATTAGCAGTGAAACAGATATTATTAGCAAAGTAAGCATCACAAATGTGCATATTTGCACTACTTGCCTTTTTCTCAAATTCTTTCAATACAAAATGTCTTTAGAATAAAAACCTCTAAAAGTAATTAAATATAACTGCAAATGAACTACCAAAAGCTATGGTTCTTATAAAAGTATATATGCTTTTAAATTCTATTATTTTTGAGTGTACATATTTAAGATCATTTAGTAAGCATTAAAATATTACTAAAATATTAAATTAAGAAAATCTGGCCATCTCATAGTCTTTTAGGAACTGATATCACAATGAAATAAGTTTACAGTTTAAGAAAAAAAAAGCATTACAAGGGATAATGCATCAGTATTGGACTGTATCACACTGCACTTTATAAATAATATCACATATAACAAAACCAGGACACTTCCTGAAAGAGCTGCACAACAAAATTTAAAAAGGCAGAAAAAACATCCTCGTAAAGTTATTACCCAGTCCCTACAAAGAGTGAAGAAATAAAGAAACCTACCACTTTCAGTAGTGAAAGAATACAGAGGATTCAGTGGAGCGCTGAGAGTGCCTGGTAGTCTTAGCTTGGAGTGTGGTGACAGTGATGAGGGCGCAGGAAGCAAGAGATTTGAGCTCGCCTGTAATAGGAAGACAAATCAGAAAGTGAAGTGTAATTTCCTGGGTCATTTACTGATGCAATAGCTAGAAGAGAAATATTTGCTTACTTTAAATAACTATTATGTATCATTAAAAAAAAAAAAAAAAGACTCAAGTTGACAATGACTAGCAATTTCAATTTTTTTTTTTTTTCAATATTTGGAGGTACAGACTTGGAAAAATTACTGGCACAGCTATAAGCTGAACTGTGTGTTTATATATGGACACTACCTCTCAAGGAATGCAAACAATGAAACAGAATTCTTTCAACCACCATCTTGCTGCATCTTTGTATATAAAAAGACATTTATAAATGGTCATAAACGTATAAATTCTCATTTTTGAGTATCCTAACTACACTGTATTTCTGAAGAGATTACTCACTATTAGAAAAAAAAAATCTTAACCCAGACCTAACATAAAACCAATTTCTGCAAATCAATAAAGCATACTTTATTCCAAAACCCCAGACACTTCCTACATGTAAGTTACACAAAAAATATCTCCAATCCTAATTTCCACAGTAACAAAGATAACGTAATGAAAGTTTGTTTTCCTATGGAGTTTCTTGATATACATACAACTATTAAAATGCAAAAGTCCTTCCCCGAATTTTACTCTTGACATATTATCCAATACAACACTATGAAAAAAATGAACAATCTCAGGTTTTCACTTGATCCAATTGAGAATTTTATGGTTTGTTAAATATATGTTCATTGGTTGTCTTAATAATACAACAGAAAGAGACAAAAACCAGGCCTTAAATAAAATATTTGTAACTTTCTTCAAGCAAAAGAGATTCATGTGCTAGAATTCTTGAGTTTTTTACATAAGGCAACATAATTCTTGATCCTTTCAAAATTTCAGCCTATTTCATCATATAGATAAAATGCATATGATCGCTTAATCCAACTAGAAGCCCATACTCAGTGGAGTATTTCCTTCAGCCTCAGTAAACTCTAGATCAGAACCTTAAACTTCACTTGTGGGTCAGTGATTGCAAATTTTCATCTACTGGCTTGTCAATTTTGTTTAAAGAACGGAGACGGCTAAAAGAAAGTGAATTGGTGGATCATTTCAGAAATTATATATTTTATACAACTATTACTTCTGTAATTTAATAAATATTAATCAATTCAAGAATGTGTAATATTCGGGCACTGGCAGTTGTATTGGAATGCAGGTAATATAGCACTAAAAATGTGTGTTGAATGACTTGACTGGGCTATGGAGGACATCTGCAACCATCTCCTCTATACCACTATACTAGACCTCTGTCTTAATGTATCCACCTCTGATTAGCCAAGAACTCTTGTAGCAACTGCGCACAATTGTAAGGACTGTACTCCAAAACTGACAGAAAGAAAACAAGATAGAAAATCAGATTAATAGGAAATCAGATTAATCACTGAACATGATTTAAAAAAAGCATTAAACCTGCTAGATTTTACTGTAATGTACAAATTTAAATGAATGTTAGTAAACAGTAGTTGTGAAACATAAGCAGAGCGGAGGCCTGTTTGTCTGAACAACAACTACAACAAAATCAACCTGCTTTTCTTACGTTTACATATGCAAGTGAGTAAGTTTTGTTGACATAAAGTTTTCTCTGATACAAAAAATATGGTAGAAAGCCACTAGCTTATGTATTTATTCAAATACAGAAAAATAATCTGTTCTGCATATGTTTTGAGCTCAGTTTCCCAGTGTTGCATCTTCTTTAATCCACTGTAGGCTCTAGAGAGTCTCTCTCTAGACAAATGAGAAGACTCCCCTTTGCATGAATTTGTTGCTGAGTGGACACTACGCCATCATACAAACGTATATTTTTCAGCCAAATATCCTCATGGAATTCTCTTTCAAATTTGCTATCATAAAGTAGGTTTCAGACAATACCAGGGAATGAAGATAGGTTGAATATATCGGTCTTTGGAAATCAAACTAAACATGGCAGAGCAAATTATTGAAAACTAGCACTTAACAGATGAACCCCAGTTCATCCTGGAAGGAAAAATTATGAAAACAGACTTGTCTTGATTGTGGTGTTTGAATGATTTACATAGAAGATATGAAACACTATGTAAATTATTCCTGTACAACATATAATTCACTTCTCTTTATTTTCCTGCTGTATCACACAAATAGTCTCATTATACAGGACAAACAGCCATGCTTTGCAATCAAATGCAACAGAAACACACAACAGAAGATTGTGTACAGTACCGAAGAGTTAAGAAAATCACCCATTCTAAAATGCAGCATAAATTCTCTTACAATTCTTCCTTCCTCTCCAGGGCCTTAAAAACAAGATAAAAACCTTTTTAATAAAAGAGATACTAAAAATAAAGTTTTAAATCAAAGGAGTGATTCATTCCTCCCCTTAATGGCAATGAAGCTGAATGAAGGTGAGCTATAAAAGTCTGCCCCTCCAAAGTACAGACAAAATCAGAATTTTAATGACCTTTCTGCCACTATCTCATAAGTGTTATTTAAACCTCTAAGAGGCCCAAAGAGGAAAAAAACATGCCACATTACAACAGAAATGGGAACCACTCAGCTAATAAATGAGGACTAATGATTCAAGCACAACTGCTTCCAGGTGAAGTGCACTATCCTATGAAAAATAACTAATTCTCCTACAACAGGCAGACATAAGACTACCTTATGGAACAGAGTGAAGCAATCTTTTTTTTGAAATGCATGCTGTGGGAAGGCATTGCTAAATACCTTTACAACGAGCGAAGTTGGCTAAGATAGCCAACCATCAATTTAGTTATTTTTCACAACAGGCTCTGCTTGCTTCATGCACAAACCACAGCTTTACCAAAGATACAGTTTACTACTGCCCTGAATTGAGTAAAACTAAGACTTATAACATTCATGTCACTTTTTGTAGCAAAAAAGATACCTACATAATTTTTGCCAAGTTTAAACAAAGCTGTTTTGCATTTTCTTTTTTGTTAGGGCAGCTTTATGCAAATTACACAAATACACATTTTCAGTGGAACTCTTTTTGACATTAAAAGTGAGTTAGATGAGACAGAAAACAGAATGCTCTAAGATTTGACAAGCTGACAAAAGCTATTTCTCTTTTTCCTAAGAATGAAATTTTATGACCTTTGCAATCAATAAAATCAACATTTCCATATATAGTTGCAAGCCAAATCATGTTGGTCAGCTCTATATTACTTCTCAATCTTTTAGTTTCAGGTTTCCCTTCTGAAACTTTAGGTCTCGAGGACACTTTTAAAGACAGTTTAAAAGCATTATTAAAACCATGATTCTGCAGAATTTAAAAGCTGAATGTGAAACAAAACCAAAATACAAATTCTGATATTTTTCTCCACATTAGAAGAAAATATATAAGCAATAATGCTTAAAGTAGGAATACAGCAATACAGCTTTTAAATTTGTAATGTAAGTTTGAGTCAAGTTTACATCTATATAAAAGTGCAATTTCTATGACAGTAGGGCTAGAAGGACTCCAGTGAACACTGGGATTCTATTATATTAGGTGTCCTGCAATCACTTGGAGACTAAACTATTTTGGTCTTATGTACTTTTAGACTAAGTGTAAAAAAAAACCCCACAGCTAAAATAAGGTATTATTCCAAAGACAGGCAAAACTTAGACAGATTTACTTGTCTGAATCAAGTACGTTCCCCTGATGCTTCCTACAGTCCTCTTATTCTGATCAGGATCTCATCTAAACGGCAATATAGGTTCCTCATAACTTAAGTGCATGAATGTTTTTCCCCATAGAAGCCCAGAGGTGACCAAGGCATACAAATGAAAATTGACACTAAGAGGTGCTTGATCCTACTGTTTAGTCATTGTCTACAGATGCTGTCTCATCACACAGTAATTATGTATACTCAGTTCCTTAGTTCTGTCAGAAAGTTCTGGCATTTCAATTACAGGTTACTTCAAAAGCTTTCTTCCTTTTTTTTTTCTTTTGTCTTAAAAAAATATTAAGAAGAAATTAAGATTTCTATAAACATTTGGAATAGTATGCTTCTTTCATTTAGCCACAAGGCATACCAACTTCTTTGTACAGGACACAAAACAGTTAAATACAGGCTCAGTCATACACAGGAACTGTAGACTCACTCAGCCATTAAACACAAAGAGAACAACCTTTCCTGGATTGGATAAAAACAGCATTTCAACTTAAGAACATGCCTAGATATATACATCTTAGCAGAAGTGGGTAAAGTACCACCAATGACAGTAAAAAGTAGATTTGTCTTGTTTATTAAGAGGCAAGTAGGTTACTATGTAAACTGTGACCTCATGTTATGATTCATGCTATCAAAAAACACGTGATTGGGGAAAAAAAAAAATCCATTACTTTTGTAGTTAATTTTTAAGATGTCTTCTTTTTCGTGCAAATGAAAAACAGATGTAACCTGTTCCACATAAAAAACACACCCAAAGATACTTGTCTTATGATTTTATTTCTCTTCCTATTACAGAAAATAGACACCAGAAATTTTTCTGACTCACTTCTTCTCAAATATATATATATATACAAACCTATCCCTTTGTACCTGCTGGTAAAAGACATTAGGACATGACTATAAATACACTATACAGCTTCAGGTAACCACTCAGAAGTTTGTAACCCCACCCCACCTATCCCCCCACTGCCCACGTATTTGGTTATACTTTAGGGTTTTCCTATCATATATAAAATACCTTTTTGGTAGATTTTTTTTTTCCCACAGAGATGTTAAAAAAGATGTATTCTGTGAAAATGTAATTATTATTCATATTATTTTTTAAAAAATAAAAATAATCAGACTTGCACTTCACTAAATTGTTTTTATAATTATGCACTTAAACAAGACATGTAAACTAATTTGTTATGTTGACAAGCCTTCATTCGATTATTCCAGAGATTAACTGTAATGTAACCATAAACACAGAAAGGTAAGAAAAAACCAAACAAATTCTGATTAGATTTTGCAACAATAAG